CCCCCCCCAAAAAAAAAAAAGTTATGCGAACGAAGAACCTTTTCACGTTCTCAGAAGAACAACTGCCAGAATGGTTAGGGTTATGACAAGCGTATTTGGCATCATTATTTAGGCGACAAGAACTGGACATGGGTAGATTTTGGGGGAATGCATGCATTGAGGAGACTGCAGTCAGGCAGGTAGTACGGTGCTGTGAAGTAGGTAGGGATAGTATACATAGTCTACTACGAAGGGGACTGCAGGAAATTCTACGATAGGCTGTTGAACGTGGGTAGAGTGACAGGTAGAGGTGCAGCACTCCGGGTAATGGGCGGTTGCAACATTCATGCAACATGTATATTCCCACGTTTCTACTGTACCTCACGCCGATAGTTTGTTACAGTGAAGGAAGCCTATCGTGGCGCCTGCACGCATTGCATGGGTTAAGAAGAGCAGACGTGGGCTGCAGCGGATGCAGATCAAGCATCTGAATCTGCCTGGTGTAGTGAGGGAACTCCAAAGGTTGGTGCTGCGACGACGCGCCCAGTCAGGGACTCGCCTTATCTCGTGTGTAGAACGGCAAGTCGAACAGGTTCAGCTTTGAGGTGCGGCGAGGAATGACCACGTCCTGCCCGCCTCTGAACGAACTTCATGCTTCTTCAGCGATATACGGAGGATGTCAACGCCTCTAGCGGATGCTCCGATATGTAGGGCCTCTCTCCCTCTACTTCTTCATCTGTATACATAATGTATACTATAATACATATATTTTTTGAGCACCAGTCTCAACCGTCTCGGACTTATGGTTTGCCTGCTAATAATATTGGATAATATTTTGCCGATATAGAACCCTCACAGAGAAGGGTAGAGGGCAGTAGGTACATTTACGTTGTGTTCCAACAGCAGGATGACTAGCACTCCGATGTCTACTCACCTATGGATGTAAATGGGGCATTTTTGTACCATTGCTAACCATATTCATTCGCCTTCCTTTTGTGCCCCTACCCTGCCTGATGTACTAATCTACTGGAAATATGAGGACTTCTGCTTGTGTGTAGGCTGTCTGCAAAGGCCAAGTAAGCTCCCCTATGCGAAACTTAGACGCATCTGCTGCCGTCGGACACACGATGCTACAATTCAGGTCAAGGCCTCACGACTCGTACAAACCCCACATGAGAGCATTCTTCAAACACCCTTTGGCTGCACGCGCTAACAGTACAGACTCTTATTATGTGCTCCCTGGGCTCTTAGTAGCCAGCCCGAGTGCAACTTGAAGCATGAGCACCAATTATAGACAGGCCATCCTACAGTCGCAGAGTGTTATGATATTCCCAGTGTCGCATGCAAGCAGGTGAAGTCCCAGTGCGCCAAAACGACAAGCAGTATAAGGGGTCACAAGGGATAAATTTATAATAATCAAGAAGGAAGAACTGTTGAACTGAGGTGGTATGAGAAAACAGCAGAGAAGGAGGGAGATATTGGCTGAAGGCGTCGCTAAGAGGCCCTGCACCAGCTGCAAGTTGCAGGGTAATACTTTTGAGGCACCGTCTTATTGGGTACGGTTAATACGAACGTATTGTTTAGCAAACGTTAAAGAAGACATTCAGCGGTTTAAATAAGCTGGAAGCTCCCCTACATGCATGCAGATGTACAAGCGAGTGGACTCACGTGGCTACCCGAAGCGAGGGCTCGAGTTGAAGAAGGAGGATCCATCGCCGCGGGAGGTGAAAATAGAGGGTATGCAGTTCTTTCTCCTCTCTGATTTGATGTTTAATTTTGCCTATTTAACGGCATCGTAAGGTTTGTGCGGATATTTGTGGGTTTGTTGGTATTCAACAACAGCAGGGGCCCCCGCCTCCACCAGCATCGACTTGCTGCTCCAGGTGTGGGTTACTGCTGCTGCTCTTTCTGCGGGTGCAGCAGGCTGTTGGATCTTCTTGCTATATTTTAATAGGCAGATCACAGAAAGCAAAGCAACAGCAAACGCCGGGCCCGGGGCGACTTTCGCATATTGAGCCACTGGTTGGCGTCGCGGTTGCTGTCATTTTTTTCTTGATTCAATGGGGAAGGGTCCCTTCACCATGGAGTTTATTGGTTTGCAACGGGGGGCCTCTCGGGGTCTAGGACTTCGCTTATGGGGGTCCCCTGCATGCTCTCTGAGGCGGTATTGTCTGCTGGGGACATCTGTTTGTTTTCTGCTGCTGGGGCTGCTGCATGGACCCTCTCCTGCATGCAGTTTCCCTGTGCCTACGGTTACTATGACCGACGTGGACGTGGGGGCGGCTTTGGCGGCTTGGGATAAAGCAGATGAGGCAGTAATGCCTAGGGATGCTGCAGAGTCTGCAATGCCTGCTCACAGAGGTTTAACAACGGTAGCAGTTGGATTATGTTTAATACTATTGTTCTTATCCCTGACAGAGTGGCGCATTCATGGGCGCCAGAAGAAAGGCAGTCTGAATGCGCACATTAAGGGGGCGCAAAAGGCAACTGCTTCTCTTTTGAATTCCCCTGTGCGCGACTTGAACAGCAAACTGGAGAGGGAGGGAAAGGCGCTTAGTGTACGACTACTACTATTTATGAGTTCTGTTCTATGCCTAACCGTTGGGCTAATGGAGATTCTGTTCACTGCTGGGCACAGATACACACGCCGCAGGACCTTCCCAACGTTGAAAAGTGCCCCGGTGCTCCGTACCACAGCTATGGTGCTGCTGCTGCTCTCCTTTGTAGGCCTCTATGGGGCTTCAAAGGCATGGAAGCATGTGGGAAATTCTATTTATATCTAAAACACTACCAAAACACAACGGGGAAACCCAATGTACAACAATATGCATGCAACCACCACAGCAGACGCGGATACCGAGTCTTGTATTCGTGTATTCTATCGAATATAGTATATATTATATACATATTATATATATTATATGGGTCCATATATACAATGTATGCATGTATTCCTCTATGTATATATAATATACATACACAACAAATAGAATGTGGACAAATATATAGGATGTACACGATACTGGTTTGATGACGTAAGCTGAGGTGTACAGGCAATTGGTGTAGCCATCCTCAGTGTACAAATGCAGTTCCCGACGGAGGGAACTCTAGAGAGTTTCAACTTTATGGTGGCATATTGTTCTCCACAACCGTCTTTGTGGGTCCCCTGCTTCCCGCTCCAGCCCGCCTTTACTCTCCCCCTCTCCCCCTCCCCCCTTCCTTTCTGCCTTCCCAAACCCAGGAAGCCGAGACTTGAGGTTCCTTGCTCGGGAGTTCCCAGGGCCCCCTCAAAAGGAAGCGCATCGTGTTTCGGGTGTACGTCCAGCTGAGGTGTACGCTCAGTTGGGAGGGCGCAGCAGCAGCAGGTAGAAGCAAGAGGTGGAAGCGCGTTTTCGGGTGCCTGTCCCCAGATACTCAGCAGGACACACATTTCTGTGTCTCCTTAGGAGTAATGAAACACCGGCCCGACGAGCAGAGCAGCAGCAACCGTTGCTGCTGCAAGAAGAGAGCCAGAAGCAGCTGCAAGGACAGTAGAGCAATAGCTGCTACAGCAACAGGGGAAGCAGCAAGCCCTGCAATAGTAGCGATGCAGCAGCAACAGCTGCAGCAACAAAAGAAGCAGCAGCAGCTGCAGCATCTATATCCGCAACTCCTGAGGGCTGGGTGGGGCCTCTAGGAGCTTTGTTTTGCGAATAAACAATTGTTTGTATTTATTCTACTTTTAAAATTAATGCCCTTTTATTTACTATTTAGTGGTTAAGTTATTGCGTAAATTGCCTGTAAGGCATTAAAGTTAGCACTCACTTCAAGGACTCCAAAGAGTAGCTAAGGAGGCAAGGCTCCACTAACACCCACTGTGGGTAGCCAGTTTGCTGCTGCCTCACTAGCCGCAGGAGCACAGAATGCCGCCTTCCCTGTCTCTCTACACCCGCCGCGCTGCTGCTGCTGCTGCTGCTGGAGGGTCTATATGGTGGGTGCATTGGCAACGTTTGCAGCTCGTAAGGGTAAGCAAGGTTTCTAAACAGAGACAAAAGAAGTCCCCTCACCTCAGGCCGAAGCAGCGAAGCGGGGGGGGCTATGCCTCCGTCGCTGATGGGGGAGAACATGCAACCCTGCACGCAAACCGAATATAAACCCTAAACCCTAAACCGACACGGGACGGCGAGGTCTCACCAAACTAATAGGGCCATACATGGCAACAAAGCCGGAAACAAAAATAAGGAATGAAATACACTCAAGCTTGCTGCTACCGTGACGCACGTGTGGGTCTCTCAAGTGTACAGGCACCACCGCCTCCTCCTCGTCCCTCATCAGCAAGGGCAAATCGTAGCTGCAGCAGCAACACAAGCAGCAGCAGCCCTCCCACCATCTCAACACTGCATCTATAGCAAGAGCTGCTGCTTCTGGCGCTGAAACGTTTTTGCAACTGCTCCTGCTGCTGCAGATGCTGCTGGGTCTCTGCTGCTGCACAGCTATGCTGACCTGAGCAAGAGGTCTTCGTGGCCGCAAGTTCTGCAGCAGCCTGTGTTCTTGCTGCTGCTGAAAATACGCTGTGCTGCTGTACCGCATGCAACGCATGCAGCAGCAAGCCAGGTGCAGGGATCAGCAGCATCAAGACCTGGCACTGCTCCAAAGCCCCACAAACCAACTCCCTCCAACAGAACGGTGAAGCCGGGCTCTGGTGTCGCCTGCTGGAGAAGTAGCACAGCCGCAGCAGTAGCAGCAGAAACAGCAATAGCAAAGCAGCAACAGAGAGCAATGCTGCAGGAATGCGGGAAATCAATCGCAGCAACAGAGACAACTGTGGGCGAAGGTGCAACAGCAGCAACCCTAATGACAGCAGCAGGTCGTGCGCCAACTGCAGTAGCTGCTGCAGAAGGAGCAGCGGCAGCTTCTGCTACTGCAGTCGTAGGACAATTACCTGGGCCGCAATAAGTGCAAGTTCGCGGCACCTACGGACTACTGCCCCAGCCTCCCTCTGCTGCTGGGGAGCAGCAAAAGCAAAACAAAAAGGAGGAGGAGCTCCTGGCGGTTGTTGCAGTTGCTGCTGCAGTTGCTGTTGCAGTTGCTGTTGTTCATGCGGCAGCATTTGTTGCGTCTGCTCCTGAAGCTGATAGGGCCCATTGCTGCACGCTGCACAGGGGGTTTGCTGTTGTTGCTGCTCCGGTCCGTGCTGCTCTTGCTGCTGCTGTTGCTGCTGCTGTTGCTGCTGCTGTTGCTGCTGGTTCCGCATTGCCGTATCGACATACGCCTCATTCAGCATATCATCCATTTGCTCGTGCTGCTGCAGGTTCGGCTGCACCTGTTCCTGTTGCTGTTGCAGGAGATGCTGCTGCTGCTGCTGTTGCTGCAGATGCTGCTGCTGTTCACGGAACTGCTGCAATTTTCGTTTGGCTTCTCTTAGGAGAGCTCGCCTCTCCACCACATCAGCGCACCAAAGGGGCAGGCGAGTGAGCTGCAGCATCAGGAGTAACAGCAGCAGCAACCACAGCAGTAGCAGTAGCAGCTAAATAAACCAATTTGCTGGTGCAGCAGCAGGTGCAAAGACCTCCATAGCTACTCGATGACGTTTGCGGACGGCAATCAAACTGCGAAGGTTTGGTTACGGTTTAGATAGACTTTAGTTAGGGATTAGGGTTTAGTGTACGGTACCTGGGCCCTATCAGGGGAAGTCCATCCTAGGGCAGCTAAGAGACCCCCATTTCTATCATTTAGATCTTGTCTAAAGAAGGAAACATTTCGTAGGCGCAGCCATTCTCCCTGCTGCAGTGCATTGTCTCCGCAGCAAGCTAGATGCTGCAGCAGCAAACCGGAGATAGACACAACTGCAACACCACCGCCCACCCACGAAGCGTCTTCTACCAGCAGCCAGTAACTGCAAAAGCATGCCGTGCTGCTGCTGGAACTGCTGCTCGGAGGGGCCAGGGAGGTGGTGAGGGCAGGGCCATAGCAGGCCTTAACGACCTGGAACGGAAAATCAATGCACAACGCATAAATACCCTGCTGCTGCAGCTGCTGCTGGGGCCTCTGCCGCTGCTGCAACACAGCCCAGCATTGGCGGCAACGTCTTCTGTACGAACCCATAGCACAAGCAACAAGAGCAAACGCTAGCTGCAGCAACAGCAGGAGCCGAAGTAGCGGCAACAACGGGTTACCCTGACAACAACATCTCCAAAAGCTCCATCTCCTCTTCTGTAGAGGGTCCTCAAGTCCGCGGTGTAGCGCGAAGTAAAGACTGCCAGAACACAGACCATAAACCCTATGCCCTAACCTTTTAAAACCGTTGAATCCAGAAGCTCGCAGGCTAGGGTTGCTGCGACAAGGTGTGCACAGGGTGGGCTGGGAGCAACGGCGGGCGCTGTCATGATTACAGCAGGGGTTTAGGGCTTACCGGTGTCAGCACAGAAGATGTTGTTAATGAAGCGGTTTAGGGAGTGTATAATGGAAGCATCAACGTCACAGAAGGAGCTCGTTTTCCCCCTCTCGCCGGCAGCTCTCATGCGACCTGATCAGAAAAGGAGGGTTTAGGGGTTGACATTGGGGCCCTGGGACCTAGGGTTTAGAGTTGTCGTTCTCAGGGCATAGGGTTTACATTTTTCCCGTCACAAGGGTTTAGGGTTTGGTGTCAGCTGGCACAAAGGGAATTGGGGTGTCGCGGCTTCCAGTTTGCGCCCGAAGGCATTAGGGCTTAGGGTTTAGAGTTTAGGCTGACTAAGGAGCGCCTGATGCTTCTGCTGAGGGTTAAGAAGCTCTTCCTTCTGTAGGGCCTTTGGCCCGAGGGGACCCCAAACCCTAACAGCTGTTGCCCATGTAGGAAAAAGATCCCCAAAGAACCGGCCGCCCCCTCCTTCCTTGAAGTGGAGCTGAGTCACAAACACCAAACCCTAAACCCTAAACCCTAAACCCCAGGTGCTGGGTTGTGGACGCTTCAAAATACAGCTGCAAAAGGACTCTCAGGTCTCTCGGATTTAGGGGCTGACCACCACTCTGTGTAGCCTCAAGATGCTGCCCGCCAGCATAAATGGCAAGGAGGCGCCTCCGCTAGTCCCTCGCAGCTGCAGCAGAAGCAACAACAGCAGCAACTACAGCAGATCAATCGGTAGTAGCAAGGCAACAAGAAGCAGCGGAAGCAGGAGAAGGATGAAAAGCAACGAGTATCGTCCATTATACAGGGTGGTCAAGAAACTCCCTAAAGTGTAAATGAAAACCCTAAACCCTAAACCCTAAACCCTAAACTCTAGACCAGCTGCTTACCTGCAAGCTGAACTCTGCTGCCTTGTTTCGCTCGATTGGCACCGGAAGAGAATCGTCAACAACCCGAACGTTCATGTAGCACACCGCTGCACAGAATCCCAAACCCTAAACCCTAAATCTTAAACCCTAAACCCTAAACCCCAAAATGTATACCGCAAGACTTCCGCGGCTTAGAGCTCGGGCAGTAAAAGTCCTTCTCTGCCACTTTTCAAATCCCTAAACCCTCTCGCCTCTACGATGCCCAAACCCTAAACACTTAACCCTAAGCCATGCTAAACCTCGAACCCCAAACCCTAAGCTTACTGTCGGTTTCTTGAGGCGCTCTCCGCATTTCCCAGTATACGCAGTAGACGTCGACCTGGGGTACAGCCAAAGGCACAACCAAAGCTCTAAATCCTAAACCCCAAACCCTTAACCGAAAACCCTTGACCGTAGGCGACTTGAACGGGTCCTTGACTGCCTCACCACGTCACTCTTTTGGATGTGGGAGAGAGGAGTGTACACGTGTTGTCTTGCTGCCCTCATCCTCTGCTGCTGCTGCTGCTGCTGCTGCTGTGTGTGCTCTCCAGCTGCCGCAAGGGCGGCCGGTTCTTCTACATCTGCAACTTGCTGCTGCTGCGGCTGCTGCAGCTGCGGCATGAGGTGCTGCAGCAGGGCACGAGGCAGCCGCTGCTGCACCCATTGAGGGGGTCTCAATGCATCGCAAGCCAAGCGGAAGCAGAAACCATTAAGCAGCAAACCCATACTAACATTTGGGGGTCTTACATGCACCTGTAGCAGCAAATCACACAATAAACCCTTTTCTTGCTGCTGCTGATAATGATACTGCTGAAGACTGTGCTGCTGCTGCTGGTCGTCCGGCTTTGGGTGCTGCTGGAGAGCAGCACTACCCTAGAAAGCTTCTGAACTCCTTGAACACGCAAACACCTGCATGTAAACCCTAAACCCTAAACCCTAAACGCCAAACTATAAACACTAAAGGGAGACCTCACCGCTGCCTCGGGGATATCATCGACGAGAACTAAAAGGCTTGTGTTGCAGAGCATTCCTTCCTGCAGCCACTCGGGTATGTTTGGCTGCTGCTGCGCTTGCTGCAGGTGTTGTGAATGCTGCTGAGAAGCCGCCGCAGCAGGAGTGGATCCTCCCCATGAGGGGCCCCCTTGGGGGCCCCCAGGCCCACAGATATCCAATGCCTTCCTTTGAAGAGATTTAAATGCCCAAGAGAGAGGGGAGAGAGTTAACACGCATGCCTGCTGCAACACCAGCTCATCCTGTGCAGCAAACAAACAACAACTAAACCCTAAACTGTAAACCCCAAACCCTAAACCCTAAAGTAAACAGTGCAATAACAAAGGCGTTAAATATAGGGTGAGCACTTTGTCTTGAAGCCGCCTTTGGCGGTTTGATTTAAACGGCATGGTGCCTCTGCTACTGCTGCTGCTGCCAGTGCTGTCATTGCTGCCTCTGCTGCTGCTGCTGATGCTGTGGTTGTTGCTGCTCACTCCCTCTGTAAGAAGGACACTTAAGTACTTGGCAAAGTTGCCTCCGACTTGCAGCAGCACGAACCTCCACTGCAGCAGGTCATCTGGCGGCTTCACTTGCTGCTGCATCAGCTGCTGCTGCTGCTGCTGTTGTTGCTGCTGCAGTGTTTCGAGCCGCAGCACCAGCAGCAACGCATCCTCAATTCTGTTGGCCTTTGGATCGCAGCTGCTGTAGTGAGCCAGTAGTGCAGCAACTGAGCCAGCTACTGTGTATCTGCTGCAACAGCAGCTGTTGCTGCTGTTGTCGATGCAGCTGCTGCTGCTGTCCCACGGCAAGTCAGAGGGGCCGTCAGCAACAGCAGCGGCTGCAGCACCTGCTGCTGTTGCTGCTGCTGGTTGAGGGGGGCATGAGACGTTTCCTGCTAAGCCTTGACCGTAAAACGGGTGCAGCAGCTGCGGCTGCTGTTGTTGCTGCTGCAGCTGCTGCCGGTACTGCTGATGGAGCTGCTGGCGCTGCTGCTGCTGCTGCTGTTCAAGTTGTGTGTCAAATAGAGACATGGGAAAGGACTGCGAATCTTGCCATCCTCCAGACGCTGCTGCTGCTGCTGCTGTGATTGGTGTTCCTGCTGCTGCTGGTGCTCCTGCTTGTGAGTCATCAGCCAAATGCTGAGAATCGTTCGCTACTGCTGCTGCTGCTGCTGCTGCTGCTGCTGCTGCGGCGGCGGCGGCGGCTGGGGTGGCGGTTCTTGCTGCTGTTTGGGCTGGTACTCCAGCCGTCGTTGCTGATGATGCATCCGGGGAAATGGAAGCACGAGCATCCGCAGCACGTGAAACAGCAGGAGCAGCAGTGGGAGTAGCAGCAGCAGCAGGGGAATTAGCAGGAGCAGCAGGGGAATTAGCAGGAGCAGCAGGGGAATAAGCAAGAGCAGCAGGGGAATTAGCAGGAGCAGCAGGGGAATTAGCAGGAGCAGCAGGGGAATTAGCAGGAGCAGCAGGGGAATTAGCGGGAGCAGCAGGGGAATTAGCGGGAGCAGCAGGGGAATTAGCGGGAGCAGCAGGGGAGTTAGCAGGAGCAGCAGGGGAAGTAGCAAGAGCTGCAGGGGAATTAGCAGGAGCAGCAGGGGAATAAGCAGGAGCAGCAGGGGAATTAGCGGGAGCAGCAGGGGAATTAGCGGGAGCAGCAGGGGAATTAGCAGGAGCAGCAGGGGAATTAGCGGGAGCAGCAGGGGAATTAGCAGGAGCAGCAGGGGAAGTAGCAAGAGCTGCAGGGGAAGCAGGAGGAGCAGCAGGGGAAGTAGCAGCAGCAGCAGGGGAAGCAGCCGAAAGACCCGGTGCAGCAACAGCAGCAGAAGCAGACGCAGGAGTTGCAGCAGAGCCCTCAGGGGAAACAAGAAGCGGAGTTTGGGGGGCAGAATAAAAGGTGTCTGAGCCCCCGTCTGCTTCTGGGGCGTGCTGCTGCTTCGGCTGCTGCTGCTGCTGCTGCTGCTGCTGTTGCTGCTGCTGCTGTTGTTGCTGGAGTTGTTGGTGCTGCTCCTGCTTCTGAGATGCTACATCGCCAACAGAAGGGCTGATGGATCTAGAGCCTACAAGCGGATTCGCAAGATTGCTAGTGCTGTTGCTGTTGCTGCTCTTGCGGCCTCCGCTGCTGCAGCTGCTGCAGCTGGTGTAGTTGCTGTTACTGGTGCTGCTGCTGTTGCTGTTGCTGTTGTTGCTGCTGCGGCGGGCAACCCGCTGCGAGCGGCTGCTTGGAGAAGCTGCACCAGCAGGTGCGGCTGTTGCTGTTGCAGCGGCTGCTGCTGTAGTGTCTTGCCCTGTTGCTCCCCCTGTGGAGTCCGTTGTAGCGTCTGGTGAAGGGCTTGCTGTTGCTGCTGGTGTTTCTGGTGCTGCACCGGCAGATGTTGCTGCTGCTGTTGAGCTGCGACGACGGCGCGCTGTAACCCGTTCCACTGCAGCAGGTGCCCCCCCGCGTTTGCGGTTGTCTGCAGCGTCAGCTCTGTTGCTGTTGCTGTTGCTGCGCCTTCCAGCAGTCTTTGCTGCTATATGTGAGGCTCCATGTGCATCTGCAGCGGCAGCAGAAGCAGCAGCTGGGCATGGTCCTGTTGTCGCTCCTGATTCTGCAGCGGGACTACCCTCTGCCCTGTCTAGCGAAGGCGTTTCCATCTTTGAGCAGCAGCTTCTGCTGGCGCTGCTAGCGGCCAGGCTGCTGCTGCTTCTTTTGCTGCTGCAGATGAATCCTTAGTCCATGCAAATGCTTTGCTGCAATCATACCTGTGTTTACTGGGGTGGGGTTGCTGCCGCAGCAGCCCCTGCTATTGCTGTTGTTGTGTGCGTTCTCTAGCTGTTTCTTTCGGTTAATCAGCAGTAAAAACAACTCTGTTGAAGCAGAATCTGGTGCTGCGGTTGCTGCAGCGGCTCTCTCTTATGGCTGCCTGGGGCCCCTTGGGGGCCCCCTGCTGGCTGATGTCTGCAGGAACTGGGAGGAGGAAATCAACACTGTCTTTTTGCATTAATGCAGTTTAATAAAGTATAACTAAACCAAACATATTTGGCATAGGGGCCCCCTGGGGGTCCCTTAAAAGGGGAGGAGCGGGGGCCCCTTAGGCGACTGCGGAGGCACGGGGTGCTATAGACACCTGGCTCGCAGACAGGGTGCCTATTTAGGGTATTTCGGGTATCATTTATACGACAATTTATTGAATATTAATTATAAAATGATGTTTTCTAAACCCTAAACCCTAATTATAAATTATTAGCTAAAGGAGAAACACACATAGGCACTGTATGCTGCTCTAACATACGCCTGCCTTCCCTCGTATGGGGGCCCCCTCAACTTTTCTATGTACCTATACGGGGCCCCCCAGGGGGGCCCTCCCAATGGAGGCCCCCTAGTGGGGCCCCTCACAGCAGGGGCCCCCATGGGGGCCCCTCAAGACGGGGTCCCTTGAAAGGGCCCCATGAAATCAATAGCGAGTCGACCATGTGTTACAGCCCTCAATTGTCTCTGGCAGATTAACTCGTATATAAAAGCAGAGACATTTGCTGCTGTTGTTGCTGCTGTTGCTGCTGGCCCTGGTATGCCGACGTTGGACATATGGGCAGCAACATCATTTTCTGTTGCAGCAACACCGCGGAGTGTGTGGCATATCTTCGTAGACTGTATCAGCTGATGGTGCGACTGTGTTCTGCTGCTGTTGCTGCTGTTGCTATAGCAGCAGCATACATCCTGAGTAATATTGCTGCTGTTATTGCTATATATCCCACAATCCAACACATTTCCTGTTGGATTTATTGTTGCAGGTGTTATAATATCCCTTAGGGTTGTTGTTGATGTTGGCGGTGGTGGTGGTGGTGGTGATGGTGGTGGTGTCTATGTTGCATTTGTTGTCTTTGTTGTAAATGCATAAGCATTTGTTGCTGTCTATGTAAATGTTGTTGTAAATATTGATATTGATAAAGTAAATTAATACTTCTTGTTATTATTGCCATATGATTAGTTAGATCAATAAATTCCCTAAGAGAAACAGCAAAATCTGTATGACGGCAAACATAATCTAATAAATCATCCATTGAATCCTCATCTAACCAAGATACATGTAACAATGTTTCTCCTATACGACGTAATGCTGCAGCAACAACGGCAACAACAGCAGCAACAGCACCAGATAATGGATAAAAACTATTTATATATAACATTGATTCTCTGTTACTACACTTTTGCTGCTCCTGCTCCTGCTGCTGCTGCTGCTGCTGCTGCTGCTATCTCTCGGTATTTCGGTTTGAACAGTGTATGGAATTGCGTGGAAGGCTAAAGTGTAGCAACAAACTCAGCAAAGCAGCAGCAGCAGGAGCAGCAGCAGCAGCAGAGCAGCAACCATAGTGGCAGCATGAGCAGAAGCAGCAGGAGGATAGACAACAGTAACAACAGCAACAGCAGCGTCACTACCATCAGCAGCAACAGCAACAGTGACACCGGAAGCAGCAGCAACAGCAGGCCAACAACCACCAGCAGCACTCCACCCCACACCACCACCACCAACAACAACAACAACAACAACAGCAGGAGCAGCAGCAGCAGCAGCACTATTGAACCTGCTCTTGCATCAGGTAATTCAGCAGTAAGATCCCCATTAGTGTCTTCTTGTGGCTGCAGTTGCATAAATATTTCTGCTGCTGGTGCTTCCCAATTATCTATACTCTCTACTATAGCAACAAAAGAAGCACAATTTAGAGCTGCATATACACCGCAAAAACATACATACACCAAGGAACGAAACATCTGCTACCTCTTGCTGCTGCTGTGTTGCTGCTGCTGCTGCAGTTGGTGGTGCACTTGCTGCTGCAGTTGTTGCTGCTAGTGTCGTGGGAACAGCCACCAGGTGCAGAGGAGCGGCAAACAGGTCTTTAGGGTTTTAGCTTTGTTGCTTAAGGGTCTAGTATGTGTGGTTTGGGTCTTAAATCCGAGGGTTTAGGGTTTAGGGTTTAGGGTTTACTGGTCTCTCTGCCTAAAGAACAGAAGATTACATCTTCTGCTCGTCGAGGGTCTTTGCAAGAAGTCCATGCCGTTAAAAATGCAACAGGTAACTGCATAGAGTCCAGACCCAATCCTAAGTAGCAGCAGCAGCAGCAACAACAACAAAACAGCAGCAAGCAGCAGCAGCAGCAGCAGCATGTGGACCCCAAGCAGCAGAGCGTATGACGGTGTGATTCAAGCTTCCTTTAGCGACAGTGGCAGCAGCCACAGCATCAGCAGCTGCAGCAGCCGCAGCAGCAGCAGCAGCAGCAGCAGCAGCAAGAGTATATACCATTGCCCTCTGGGTCCCATTGATGGAAGAGAGACAGCAGCAACTCGTGCTGCGCCTCTCTTGCTTCTCTCTCTAATTGGTGCAGCACATTAATATGCACAGGAGGTCTAAAGGATCCAACAATCCATCGTGGTGCTGCTGGTGCTCTTGCTGCTGGTACTTTTGCTGCTGCTACTCTTGCTGCTGCTGCTGTTGCTGCTGGTTCTGGTGCTGATGATCCAGAAGAAGAAAGAGGTGTCGGGCTCTCTGATGCTGCTCCTTCGCCTGTATCCCTAGCAGCAGCAGCAGCAGCAGCAGCAGGTGGAACAGGAAGGTCAGCAGAAGCAATCTCAGAGGAAGAAGCAGAAGCAGCAGCAGATTCCTCAGCAGCAGCAGCAGCTTCTGCTTCTCCCGGTCTCTGTTCCCTCTTTGGTGCCGCCATCTTAGGTCTCCTTCCTTCCATAGCTGCTGCTTCGCTGCTGTTGCTGCTACCACCGCTGCTTTTGCTACCGCTGCTGCCATTGCTGCTGCTGCTGCTGCTTCTGCTGCCGTTGCCACCGACTCTGCCGGCGCTGCCGTCGCTGCTGCTGCTCCTACTGCGGGGCCGTGTTGCAGCTTTTGCTGCCTCTGTTGCAGGCTGATACCCCAACTCTACTACAGCAGGAGTAACTTCTGATAATCTCTCCTCTGCTTCCTCTGGAGGGCGGAGGCAGACGCAGATAGCGTCTTGAGGTAGGCATTCGCTCTCTAAAAGATTCCCCATCCTAAACCCTAAACCCTAAACCCTAAACCCTAAACACTGAAGATGACACGGACGCTGTGGTGAAAAGGGGGGGAGACGGGATAGTACTGCGGAGAGCCGACGGGGATCCTACTAAGGCCCTTCTGTCTTTAGTTGAATACAACAGGAAGAAGGCCAAAAACCCTAAACCCTAAACCCTAAATCTTTAATTGAAAGGAAGCTGCGCCAGGTTTCTACGACGCAGAATTCAAGAATTCGGCTACACGGGAGGAAGAAGAATCTGTACAAATCGATATTTAAGAAAATCTAAAGGAAAGAAGGCTAAACCCTAAACCCTAAACCCTAAAACCTAAAACCTCACCGCTACGAACTGCGGTCGTAGTGTGCAGATGAGCGTCAATGAAACCCTAAACCCTCAAAGAGAATAAAAACCCTTAAACTAATAAAATAAGAAAGGATTTACTTTTAATATTCAGATAGATTGCTGCATTTACACCCCAAACCCTCTCTACTGCTGCTCCCACACCGTTCTCGCCTGCGCCCCCCAAACTGTAAACAGTAAACCCTAAACCCTAAACCCTCAGCCCTAAACCCTAAACCCTCAGCCCCACGGAAACTTCCGTCTAATATCTCAGCACTAAACCCTTTAATTCGTGGTTTTTTAGGCAAATTTTTTGTACACATTCGCCGCGAGCAAACCCTAACCCCGAAACCCTAAACGCTAAACCCTAACCACCGCCGACAGCAACCAGACCGGCGGCCCATACAGACAGATCTATGTTCTTCTCCTTTTGGCTTCTAATTATTTATTTGTATTTCTTTTATATTTTTAATTATAAGTCCATTTTTCATGCATCTAACCCCAATATGTCCCGCTGCAGCGTGCTCAGCACTGCTGCCTGCATCCAATCCCTAAACACTAAACCTTAAACACTAAACCCTAAACACTAACAACGAGCCAGCATGGCCCAAAAGGACCGTTTGTGGGGCCTCCAATAACAATGCCACGGGGCCCCACATGAGCAGAGAAGCAGATCTTTCCCTTGCGCAGGTACCAATGTAAGGATATCCTTGTATGCATGCATGCGTCTTCGAATGCATGCATGCATGCATGCATGCGTCTTCGATCCTCTTCTGCATGCACGCATAATCAGTGCGGAGGGTACACCCAATTGAGGTGTATCTGCAGCACTCCCCTCCCCCTCTTCCCTTATCACTAACATGCAATTATAGATGTATACCCAGGGTATAGACAGCCTCTCCTTCCCCTAGTATTTGCATAAAAAAAGTCTCCTCTCTATCCGTATGCATGCACGGGTGCATGCATACATGCATGCATTTGTTGTTTGTGTTATGAGGAAGGCGATGTCTATGCCTAGCTAACTGCTAAGGATTCTATGGGGCGAAGAGGGAGGGAGAGAAGAAGGTCCCTTCTTGTATTATATATATATATATATA